CGCCGTGCCCCGACCCCCACCCCAGCCCCGGGCCTGGCCCTCACCTCCTTGCCCAGGGGCATGCCGCTGCCCAGGGCGCACGTCAGCCCGATCACCTTGGCCACGAAGGTCTTGAGGGTGAGGTACTCCTTCAGCACGACACCCCGCAGGATGGTCTTCATCTCGGGGATCCCCGAGCCTGGTGCCGCAGGGACAGCCCTGACCCAGCAGCCACCACCCATGGCCATGGGGGACCCCGATGCACAGCTACAGGAATACCCCCAGGACCCCCACACTGTTGCACTGAGACCCCCCAGAGACAGCTTTCCACACTGCAGCTGAGGGGGACGCCTGGGGTCATCCCCATAGCCCCATAGAGGCCCCCCCCAACCCATAGCACTGGGAGCCCCAGCCCACGGACCCAGGGAGACCCTCAGGAGACCAGCCCATAGCCCTTGGAAGACCCCCCCAGGACTCCCAACCCCATAGTGCAGGAGGACACCCTGGCAGCTCCCATCGCAAGGACATCTCTGGGACAGCCCAGCTGCAGGGGTGTCTGCAGTGCCCTACCCACAGCCTGGGGCGCAAGGATCTGGGTGAAGCCAGCCGAGAAGGTGATGAGCACGGTGGGGTAGGTGACCCAGGCCAGGTACTGCAGCAGCACGTTGGTGTCCAGACCTCCGTACATCCACTTCTGGGCTGCAGGCACAGTGAGCGATGCAAGTCACGGGTGGCAAGGGGCACGGCATGGCCCTGCGGCCCCAAGCACCAGGCACAGGTGCTCCCCACTGCTCCCCAGGCGCCGTGCCTCGTGCCTGAAGCTACGCCATCATCCTTGGGAGCCCCAGGGCCTGCTGGCGGCCGCTCACCTTGGAGGCAGGTGGCGATGGCGAAGTCCATGGCCCAGCTCACCAGCGCCATGACCAGCCCCAGGAGGATGAGGAAGATCCAGTCCTCACCCACCTTCGAGATGAGGAACTGCTGGCACTGCACAGCGCACACTGCAGGCACAAGGGCAGGCTCAGGGCCGGGGCGAGGGGCCAGGCGCCCTGGGGATGGGCACAGGCTCTCCTCTCCCCACGCTACCCCAGGGCATTGCTGGCAGGGACAGCACGGCCACACGCCTCCGCGCGAGCACGCAGAGCACAAGCGCTCACAACTAGACACGCACAGCTGCACACCTCCTGCACAGGCATGCACACACGCACAAGCTACCCTGCGCACAACCCACACCCCGGCACCGTCACCCTCCCCCCCGCAAGATGTGCAGCTACAAGCAACCAGGCACAGACAACAGCGTGCACACTCACGCATGGAGTGCAGACGACTGAGTGCATGCTGCGCACAGCCGGGCAAGACCAGGCACACGTGCTCCTAGCACACACGCAGCCCATGCAGCCGTGCACGCACACGTATGTGCACGGTCACGCGTGCCACCACAACACAGGCTTACATGCAACCACAACCTCACACGCGCTGTACACACA